AAAGGTTGACTTTACCTACATGCTCGATCTGAAGGTAACTCGATTTACCAACTTGAAAGTGTAGCTAAGGAACTTTGTATGTCTGTTACCATGCATGCTGTGCCAACTGCTACCGTGCATGTTGTGCTTATGACTTATGAGATGTACTGAACTATGGTTCCACATACAAATTGTTTCTTAATTTGCAGACAATCGAACCATTGGTAATAACACTTCCAATACACAAAGATTTCTTTAACACACACGCGCGCGCGCGCGCCACACACACACACACGGTCGGTAGGAGATCTGCCGAAACTGTATTGATATAGGAGACTATATAAAGATCTCTAAAGTTGCCTTTTCCTGGAACAAAATATCATAATCTTTCTCATGGCCGTGCATCAGAGAAATTCAGAAGTAAACAATTCCGAAACAGAAGATCATCAACTTTTTCATGGTCATGCATCCAACTAGAAGTAGTAAAAATTTTCATGCCACACCAAAACTCCATTCAACCCAAACATCAAAGACAGTAAAAAAAAGGTACATACTGCTTTCGGAGCCTTCATCCCTGGGGAACGACGACGGCAATGACAGAGGCCAGTACAGAGAAATTTATTCAGAAAGCTTTTAACAAGGTATAATGGCGTGCGGTCACTGGAACAACGGGAACACGTCCAAGTTGTTCGAAAGCCTTGCCATGCGGCCATACTGCTTGTTCAGGTCACCACCGGTTTGCCTCCAATCGTTGGTGAAAATAGGGCAATTATCACTAATGGTTGGTAATATGAACCGTCGGTAATGATAGTCCATCATCACCGCTGTTTTGTGTCACCAATCGATGGTGAAAATCATTTTCAGCAGCGGTTTATATTACCAACCGGCGCTAATAACCATGATGCAACACAGTAAAACTAATAACTCTTTCAAATCAAATTGGATGAAGGCGAACTTTATATCAAAGTTGTGGGTCTTGATGAGATCTAAAAATTTCTAGTTGATAACTTTTTCAATTAAAATTATTTATAGTCTCATAATTTTGTTTGAAGTTCTCATATTTTTAAATTTATTTTTTTCGAATTATACAAACAATCTCAGATGGAAAAAACACCATGACTAAAGTTATAGATTTTGATGAAAACTACAACTTTGTAGTTGATGACTTTTTCATTTGAAATAATTTGTGGTCCTGAAATTATGTTTCAAGTTCTCAAAATTTGAAATTCAAAATGTTCAAACGATCTCAGATGGAAAAACAACCAAAAACCAAAAGTTGTAGATCTCGACAAGAATGACAACTTTGTAGTTGATGGATTTTTCATATGAAATTAGTTATGGTTCTAAATTATGTTTCAAGTTCTCACAATTTGAAATTTAAAATTTTCAAACGAGCTTGTGACGGCGGAACGACCAAAAACCAAAATTATAGTACTCGATAATATCTACAACTTTCCAGTTGAAACATTTTGGCTCTTATCCAATTTTTTTTGGAATGAATACATCATTCAATTTGGCAGGCAAAATAGTAAAGATTTCATTGAAAACTTACATCGTTTAAGGTCCCAAATATTTATTTTAAAATTTTGAAAAGTGGATGCATATGCCCTTTATTAAACACAAGTGAATTTGAGGTGGAGTAATTAGAGGAGTTATGTGCAATGTTATAGGTCTGTCAAGTTCCAATCCCGCTAGCGCACAGCGTGCTGAAAATTTCGCTTTCTCCGGTTGAGTTACTCTACATGGAGAAAATCGACTTTGGGTGATCCAAATGACACGCGGATACCTGTGCTAGCCAACTACGTGCCTGAAAAGAAAACAAAGAACTCATCGACCTTGACATTGTTCCTGTAGGGAAATCAACCCTGCAAAATTGGTTTTGTACGTAGAATGGTAACAATCAGTTACACATTCTCCTTGTTCTTCTTTTTTTTTTTTCGGGGTGTATTGGTTTCCCCGGTGTGTGTGAGTGTGGCAAATATGTTCAGAATCTTAGCAAACAGAAGTCACTGTCCGTAGAAATGTACATATTTTTTTTTAAAAAAAAACATTTTAGCATCTTTTACTGAAAATATTGTTACAGGCAATCTGCATTTATTTGCCATGGTAATTAGAAATCCTTCCTGCAGCCGTATAGCATGCAAATGTGCGAAGAGCGAGGTCTGTGAGAATATACCGTTCTGACAGCTGATGATAATTGACTTTATTTGTGTGAGAGAATAAAGCTGAAGGTGTCGCTTTTAGAAATCGGAGATGATTCACGTGCGCCGGCCAGGCCAGTGCGCGTCGTCGTCACGACTCATCCATGCATAGAGAGGAGAGCGGTCGGCCACGTCCACCTCCAGGCTCCGCCTCGTCCGGGCGGTTAGTGCACGCATGCCAATGCCATGGGACCATCATCTCGATCGCCGGCCGTCGGCCGTGTGCGTTGGAGCTCGATCGATCGCTGGAAGCAAGAGGCGTTAGGTGCACGCCGTGCAGGCGCGCAATGCTGTGCGCCTGTGCATTGCCTATTTGCCTGCTTATAAGATCTGGAGCAGTTTCTGTGCTACTGCTAGCTACGGAGTAGTCTGCTACTGCCTCAGGCCGTCCAGCCAAGAAGGGCAAATCAAAGCTAATTGAAAACGACTGGAATGTATGTCAGCGACGTCTGCAGGGTTTATTTATATATCTTAATGATCTTAGTTTTTCAAGAGCTCTTTTGCTTCTTTAGCATCTAGAACGTAGCACAGTACTAGGTATCAGAGAGAAGATTTATCGTTAGCCTTCCCGGCCTTTTGATGCCACAGCTTTCATGTAGCACCAGTACTTTTAAGGCATTAAAATTCAAACGCATCCAACATACAGATCGTATATCGATGGTCGACATTTGTATCAGAGAAACGAAAACACAGAAAGAAATTCAGCACGCATGCATGCAAGAAGTTTTTTCTGCAAGAGCTGATACGCCTAGCTACCGTCCACGTCCATCATGGGGTTGGGGGAGCTCTCGTGGGTCGTGGAGTCGTGGCCGGCTGACAGCAGGACCACAGGCAGCGACTGCCGACGACTGAACGCATGCACGCGCGGGCAGCAACTACTGAAGAAATTAAGGCCGGATGCAGTGTGAAAAGGTTGAGTGAACCGACATGCTCTGAAAGTGACTCCATTTACCAACTTGTAAGTGTAGTGTAGCTAAGGAACTTTGTATCTAGAAAACTTTCTCAAACGCTAAATTTGTACGTTGATGAGATTACTGCTGTGGTTTGTAAAGAGAGCTTTTTTGTTTCTTTAGCATCTACGTGCCCTTCCCTTTTATGCCACAACTTAATTTGATGTAGCATCAGATTTAATTTTAAAGTTCACGCATCCGACATACCGATAAACATTTCTACCAGAGAAACAAAAACATAGAAATTCAGCAGACAATGCAAGAAGTTTTTCTGCAAGGGCTGACGGCTGAGGCAAGGGAATATGCCTTTTTTTTATTAAAAACAAAAGAAGAAGTGAAGTTGGCATGAGACATACCAGATTTTATTATTTTCTCACTGCAAACTGTACGAGGCAGCAATTCAAAAAATCATGTAACCGAACTTTGTAAATCCTTTCTTTCAGTCAGAAAACTATATATATCTGAAGTTGTAGGCCACCCAGGCGACACATAATTCGTAATACAATCAGGTGGGGACTTTTCCCCCTCTGAAACCCTAAAAAAACATACCAGATTTTTATAGATATATATTATATTAATAGAGAATAAAGTGCACGCTTAGGCCCCCAAAAATGACAAAGCTGGAGATCGTAGACAAAGAATTTAGTGCCGCAAGACTCTTGTTTCTAGCGTAGCCGGTAGCCGTTACCCGGTATGTAGCTCCAGCATACATGCATGCACACCGTACCGGCTGGGCCATGCCAAGTCGACAACAGTCAACAGCCAAAAGGGCAGAGTAGGGGTGAAAACGGACGGAAAAAAACTCCTCTCTCGTTTAAGTTTCTATATTTTTAGCGGAAACGTGATTGGGTTCGGAAGAAAAACGGAATTAAAAATGAATGGGAATATATGAAAATACGGAAACGGACAAATACGGACGGAGAGCCGAAAATTAAGTTAGAATAACATGATCAAATATTCTCGTGTATATACGAACAAAATCACAAAATAATATACACGTATGAAGTTATTGGTCAAATATTCACTAGTATGCCATGTGTTAACATATAAACATGCATAATTGGTGATTAGTAGGTTTATGAACATATCAATTTCTAGACATATCTCACATAGATTAAAAACGGGATGAAAATAGAATCCCGCAGAGACGGATGAAAAAACCCTTCCCCCATTTCAAATACGAAAACGGAATCCCACAAATATAAAAACGGGCAGGAACAAAGCAGAAAACGAAACAGGTCCGAAAGGAATTTTTCACGTCCGTTTTCAACCTTAGGGCAGGGCCATGCCGTCGCGGTACCTTATCATCAGTACGATACGATCAATACATCAACAATTCTAGTATACTGATGCATACATGCATGCTGATCGATTTGATGCTGGCCAGCTAAACCCTAAACTTGACACACGTACTCCGCAGGTATCCAACTTTTGCAAAGTCCGGCCACGTGCCTGTTGGTATCCAGCGACACATGTGAACGGCGAAGATCAAGTTGCATTGGATGCAAGGTACTGTAATTACTCTTGTATGAAAATTTATATTTATAATTATATAAAAAAGGGCAGCTACTACTACTAGCTATAAAGGGACGCGATAGAGACCACCCAGTTCGCACGCCAGACCACACCATAAGCGACTAGCGCCCTGTTCGTGTGATATTGTTTGCTTGATGACTACTGGTTAAAAGTATTATTTACTGATTTGATGTGAGAAAAAAAATACTATTAATTAACTGAAAAAATACGACTTATAAACTAAATAAGTCCAAACGAATCGGACGAGCCAGTACTAGTCTCAGGCAGCAGAGCCAGAGAGCAGAGAGGGACAGCGAGCTAGCTAGTACTAGTAGCGCTGCGTGAGGGCGGAGAGATGGCGCCGGAGGCGATCGTGCAGCTGGTCGACGGCGGCGAGGAGGAGGAGGCGCAGCGCAAGGTGGTGGTGGTGCAGCAGCACCTGGACGACAACATCATGTCCACGATCCTGTCCAAGCTGCCGTCGGAGCCCGCACACCGCTTCGCCGTCGTCTCCAAGTCGTCGGGCGCGCTGCTCAGGCAGCCGGCCTTCCTCCAGAACCACCTCTCCTCACGTCGTTCGCTGGTGCAGCTGCTCAAAGATGACGAACTCCCCTCCATGGTCGCCATCCAGCCCAAGGACCACCAGCGGCCCGGCGGCTACGTCCACCTCACCATCGTCAACAACGCCAACCCGACCAACCCTGTCTCGCTCCACCTCCCCGTCCATCACGCGTACCAGCACCTCATCGCTGAGCATGCGCCGGCCGCGTCACCGGCGGAGGGAGAGCTCGCCACCTTCCTCATGCGGACGATCCCCAAGCTCGACGCCTCTTTCGTCGCCTCGGACGGCCCCATGCTGCTGGCGCGGAACCCAACGCGCTCCTACTTCGTCTGCTACCCGGCCGCCAACCGCTGGATCGCGCTCCCGCCGCCTCCCGCCGGCGATACGGTGGCCGCCGGCTTCCGCTACGTCGTCGTCGACGCGGCGTCCGGGACCATCTCCTTCATGGTCGTGCTTGTCGCCCCTGATCACGTGGCGACGTTCTCGTCCAAGACCGGCGAGTGGGGGGTGAAGGAGCACGGCGCGCACGAGGACGTGATGGCGTTCGGTGCTTGGGGTCCGGGCATCCGCGCCGGGAACAGCATCTACTGGCAGAGCGCCGCGGGTGACGCCCGCGCGCGCGTTCTCTGCTTCGATGTGGCCCGCGGCGGCCGCGTGTCGGCGTTCCGCGAACCGCCGCTGGCAGATGGGGGCACGAAGCGCGTGGGGAGGTCTCTGGGATCGGCCAGCGGGCGGCTCCGGCTGTGCGCCTTCGACGTCCGCGACAACGATCCGGGCAACGTCCAGCTGCACGCCGTCGAAGGAGTGCACGGCGTGTTTTTCCTGGACGACGGCGACGCGGGTACATGGCGTCGCGCGCACGAGGTGGTGGTCCGCGATGACATTTCGGTCACTTTCTTCGGTGTGCCTCACGGCGCCGAGGTTCCAGTCGACTTCACCGGTGCCAGCGGCTCCTCCATCATCGTCAACAAGAACCAGGTGCTGTTCCGCCGCGATCTCGAGGGCGGCAACAAGGTGAGGCTGTTCGACCTCAACAAGCAGTATGACCCCCGCATGGCAAGGCTTTACAACAACTTGGACATGTTCCCGTTGTTCTAGTGACCGCACGCCATTATACCTTGCTAAAAGCTTTCTGAATAAATTTCTCTGTCGTCGTCGGTTGTCGTTGTCCAGGGATGAAGGCCCCGGACCGGAAGCACTATGTATCTCGTTTTACTGTCTTTGATGTTAGGAATGAATAATGGTGGTCAATACAGTTTTTTTGGCACATCTCCGGCCTACTCCATGTATGTGTCGTAGTAAGCTGCAGGTGTTCCAACTTCCAAAAGCCCTGGCACTGGCAGAATATCTAGCATGGGCATCGGCGATTCGGCATATGCAGCCAAGCATCGCTAGCTATCTAGCATGGGCATTAATTGCGTGCTCGCTGCACTAGCTTTCTCCTGTGGACAGTGGACACCACCTCCAATCAGCTTCTAGATAGCGACCGAGCTCCAAAGCACGTGACCCGCGTGGGATATCCTGACCGTTGGGTGCTGCGGCACCGCCACCACCTTGCGCGCTGCGCCTCCTCGCCACCGTCGACCAGCTGCACAATCGCCTCCGTCGCCATCTCGCCGCCCTCACGCAGCGCTGCTAGCTGGAAAGGAGAGTGGGATCTTGCATGCTTGCATGTATACAGTAGCCATGGGGAAATTAAAGATTTCTTTGTTTGACCTTCTAGTTTGCTTCGAACCCGTCGGAATAAACAATCTGCAAAAATAAAGATGAGGGCATCTAAAGCCCAGTTCCATTTTAGCATTCGTTCAGTTTGAGCGAACGATCTGGCGCCGCGTAGACAACAGAAACAGTGGGACATTGCAAAGTTACGTTGCGCGTATGGCCTGTTCGTTTGGTTGGACTTTTCGTTGCTGGACCGTAAAGAAGTACTGCTGGCTGGTTTGGTGTGAAAGAAAAATACTATTTTGATTGGAAATTTACGATCGTTTACGAGGGAATAATCCTAGCCGAACAGGCTGATATTCTACACGTAAGTAAGTGACTGGGTGTCAAGTGTAGGGTTTAGCTCGCCAGTACCTTAGAGCATCTTCAAGAGTCTTTTTAAATCTTACTCTCAAAATCATCATTTGGAGAGCTATTTGCATAAAAATTGCTTTCTATATCTTTTCAGTCTTCAACAGTTTTTTATATCTCATGCGCACTCTAGAGAACCATTCTCGTCTTCTATTTTTGACTAGCGAAAAATTCAGAATAGAAAATGGCTATATTTGAATAACCATTTAAAAAAATTGTTGGAGGTTAGTTTTTTACAAAATCTCTATTCGTAGCAATTAGAAATGATATGGAGTCTCTTGAAGATGTTTTTATCATACTGATTAGCATGCATGCATGCATGCATCACTAGTAGAGAAATGATTTTTGATTCACTTTAAAATTTGGCTTTAGTCCCGGTATTTTTCGCGTCCGGGACTAAAGAGACCTTTAGTCCCGGTTTGTAGCTCCAACCGGGACTAAAGGTCCCTGCCCAACGGCTACTGCGGCAGGCTTTTGCTGCAGGGGATCTTTAGTCCCGGTTGGAGCTACCAACCGGGACTAAAGGTTAACTTTTATTCTCGGTTGGTCCCTCCAACCTGGAGTAAAAGTCTACTCTCGGCTGGAGGCTCTGTTCGGGACTAGAAATGGACCTTTAGTCCCGTTTTCTGTCTCCAACCGAGACTAAAGGTCTCCTCCTATATACCCCTTCTTCCTCCCCGAGCCCGAGCCACTTCGACCTCAGTGTTCTTGCTTCATCGTCGGTCTCTCTTCTTTCTCATCGCCGGTAATCACAAGAAGATTTTCTTCGATTCCTCCATCGATTCTTCGGTTGTAAAGGTTACCAACTTTATACTCTCATGTTTCATCAGTAGCATATCTCATTTTGTGGACTAGATATATGTGGTTTTTTATGATGTATTTTTTTATATTTGTAAGCCATTTAAGCTTAAAATCACTTTAAAGTTTGCATATTTGGATGATGGAAGGTTAAAGTAGTTATTCAAAACTAGTATTCAGCTTTCATTTCTAGCATGCATAGCACACTTCATGGTTTAGAGATATAGAGAATTTTAGAGTTTTTTAATTTTATTTGTTTATAAAATGAGAAATTTATATTATATTAAAAATGAGTATAGAGAGTAGATAGCAACTGCTTCCGGGTCCTCAGCCTCTCATCGGGTTCCAAAGCGACTGAGGCCGGACCTCCCTCTTATTGCATGCGGCAAGTGTGAGGAGAAGATTATGATGGAGTACCGGGTGAGGAAAGGAGTGTCCCAACAAGGGCCGTATCTTCTACAAGTGTCTGTATCGCAATGTGAGTTATTTTGTCGCATTTGATGATTATGGTTAATTTATACTTATTTTCATGATGATTGTGATTAAAGTTCTATTTTTTGTTTTAATTTCAGTGGGATGGCACTGGATGTTCAGGCTGGTACTGGGAGGAAGAATATGTTGAACACGTGTAAAACTCTCTTGCACAGGCGGCTACGACGGCTCATGAGGCAGTGATCCTGCGGAAGAAGCTCATAGATGTTGAACAAACGCATGATCTGTCTGTTTTAGTTGAGATTGGTCACGAAATCCTTATGCTGCTGAAGTGCATTTTAGCTTTAGTTTTTTTAGTGGTAGTTGGGATTGTCTACATTGTAGCGAGACTTTCATAAATTAATACCTTGTGTGATGGCATGCATGTCATATAATTAACTAATTATGTTCTAGGTTTTAATATGGTATGTATGTCATGTAATGCAGATGAGGCGGCATTGGATGTACAATGCTGATCGCCGCTCCTAAGAGTTCATTGAGGCGTGCATTCTTTCTTACGTGTGGCCGAGGCAAACAAATGCGATGGTTTTATGTGCTGCCCATGTGCCATATGTAAGAATTTGAAGGAATATGCTAGCTCAAGGAGTCTTCATTCACACTTGTTGAAGTCGGGTTTTATGCCAAAATATATTTGTTGGACGAAGCACGGAGAAACCGAGGTTGTACTAGAAGAAGGTGAAGAAGAACAATGGGACGATGATGACATAATTGCTGAATATGGTGCCTTCAATGATACTGCAATAGGGGAAGCTGAAGAAGAGGTAGGGGCAGAAGATGAGTCTGCTGATGATCTTGGTCAGGCCATTCATGACGCACAAAGAGAATGCGAAAGTGAAAAGGAGAAGATCAAGTTCGAGCGCATGCTAGAGGATCACAAGAAATTGCTATACCCAACTTGTGATGTGGGGCAGAAAAAGTTGGGTACCACACTGGAATTGCTGCAATGGAAGGCAAAGAATGGTGTATCTAACAAGGGATTTGGGGAGTTACTGAAAATCAAAAAGAAGATACTTTCGAAGGATAACGAATTGCCCGCCACTACGTACGAAGCAAAACAGGTAGTCTGCCCTTTGGGATTAGAAATCCAGAAGATACATGCATGTCCTAATGACTGCATCCTCTACCGTGGCGAGGACTATGAGAAGTTAGATGCATGCCCGGTATGTCATGCATCGCGGTATAAGATCAGGCGAGATGACCCTGGTGATGTTAAGGGCGAACGTCCCACGAAGAAAATCCCTGTCAAGATTATGTGGTATGCTCCTATAATACCACGCTTGAAACGTTTCCCCGTGGATGACATCACTGCACCGTTTACATCATGCGAGCTACATATTCCAAAAGAGAATGCCACAATCATGGTGGCTCTCGGTGTTTTTTCTCCTCCAGATCCTACCAAGACACCAAGAATCCATGGGGCAATAATACCACCTGGATATGTTAGCGTCTTAGTGGATAGAGTTAACAAAGGTTTTAGTGATCTGGCTCTTGACATTCCAGGAGGTGATGGGAAGAAGACTCTAGGAGAAGCAGAGGAGACATTCATACTATGGCGCAAGCGCTACATCATTATTTCTGGGGTCTCTAGTCCACCGCCGCTTCCTCAACTATCAGACAATATGTACGGACAAAAGTGAACGAAACAATTTTTTCACTAATTTTCTATCGACATGCATGATTAATAATAATAATTTCTTATACCTAATTATTCTTTTTTGTACTCACACAGTAGGGCCTCCGCCAACCTAAGTCCAATTATTCAATCTCCAGATCATCATAGTGCTCCGGGCAATGATTATGCAACGCCGCCACCGCCGCCACCTCCAAGGAGGTCTCCAACGGTTGCCCCGCCTCCCTTGATGACCAAGAAGCAGCCAGCTCCTACGAGGTTCGCCCCGCAAACGAAGCCGTTGGCCCACCAGCCGGCAAAGAGGAAAGCCTCCTCTAATCCAGTTATTCCCCAAAATCCGTCTTACGAGAAAAGTGAAAATGAATTAAATGCTGTAGCTGCAGTACAAAAAGATGTGTACAGTTTCTTTAAAAAAGTAAGAAAGCAACGAGAAGCGAGGGAGAACTCGGAGAAACCGTACTTCTACCTATCTCTAGATCTTCTAAGAAAGAAGGTGGACCAGAAAAAGCGGGAATCTCAAAAGACCCTGCCAAAATCGGACTATGACCGCTCTCTCACCAAGTCATTTGAGGCGGCGCAGAAAAAGACTAGAGTAGGGAAAGGTGTTGCACAACTCGGACAACAATCGCAACAATCAGTCCCCCCCTTTTGTCATTCGTAATGAATATGGTTCAAACTTAGACTTACTGGACATCGATTTTGAGGACCTGGCTCGGTTTTACGAGGATACCAGTTTGGACCTTGCCCAAGTGCTCGCTGAAGGACCATCGCTCCGAAAGTGGATCCTTGGAAGAAATTTAAACATGAAAAGAGTCTATACAACCCTGAGGCCTTAGATGAACTGGGTTCGTAAATGTACCTGCTAAATAAGTGGTACATGGCGGCGTGTGAACGGGGAGAGAACTTTGTTTCTGTCAGAGTTAGAAACCAACATTACTTCCGTGGCGATGATGTTATATATGTCGAGTTTTTAGAATTACACCAACTATGCCACCTGGACTCTCTCGACAAAAGTCTCATTAGCTGCTATTGTCTGTAAGTGTGATTATTTTCTACTATTAAAGTGTATATATATAAAGCTACATGTATATATATAAATTATATA